GGTCCCAAATTACTAGGATAAAGTAGCATGGAATGAACGTCCTAAAGGAAGTGCAGGGAAAATGCCTTGGGAATTCAGAGAAGGAAATGACCTATTTCAACCAAAAATCTAAGGAAAGCATCAGAAGCAGATGCCATTTGATCTTGACCTTAGAGGACAAGGATTTAGACTGGGTGGGGATGGGAAGACCCTGTGAGCAAAGGTATTGGGTGCAGTGACCTGGACTTTGAGGGATTAGTGTGTGCAGTGTGGTTGGAGTAGAGGACGCTGTTTTGGAAGTCGGGTGGATTGGAGTTGAAGCTGGAAAGGTCCATTGGAATTTGGATTGGGGCTGGTATGGTTCGGCTCAATATTAGCTGGAGGCAGCGTGAAGCCAGAGAGAGTTTATAAGCATAGAGCATTCTGGTTGCAAATAGCACAGTGGTTAGAGGCGGGAGAAAAGGAACACTTAAAAAAAATCATATACACAATCGCTTTCCATTTCTAATGAACTTGTAGTGAGCCCTGAGTTGATTGAGAACAGCGTGAGTCAGCCAGGTGATGAGGTCACCAGAAGAGCAGAAGGAAGCTTCTTATGCCCCAGTCAGAGAGAACATGTCCAGAAGGAGGAGTGGACGACTGTGAGCCCTGCATTGGACCCAGGAGGGAGGGACGCTGCCACCCGTGGCCCGAGAGGACATTTGTTGGGACTGGAGCCCCAAGACCAGTGCACGGAAGCCTAAAGGGACAGTTTTAACACTTCCTCAAGGCTGAGCTGGGCGGCCTTGGAGTGGTTGCCTCAGGAAGCAGTGAGTTCTCCATCACTAGTGGGTTTCAAGCATCAGATAAAAGATCAGCCTTTGTCGTAATTCCCGAGCTCCTTTGGGCCCTGAGATTTGGGGCCCATAAAATTCTCTAAGTGGTCAGGGAGGAAATAGGGGACCTCCCGGTTAGTCATTGCTGGGAAAGTTTCTCTCAGACAGAAACTACAGTATCTCATTTCAACCCCCTCCCTGGGGCTTTCCCTGCTACTCCACATCACTGAGAGTGCGTCGTGGGGGGTGTGCCGGCAGGCTGCAAACAGAATAAGGAGAGATGAGTCAGTTACATTTCGCAGGTCTCTTCTTGGAAGTCCCTTGATTTCACTGCAATCCATTGTGGCGCAAGCACAGGCACAGAGCTGGAGAGCCAAATGAATAGAGGGCATGTCTCACCCACGCCCTAGTACTTTCTGATAAATAAAAGCACCCTGAGATCACTTATCCTCTCGGTGACCCTGGGAAGCACCTCTGGTACTATCAGCAGAGCCGGGCCAGGGTACCTGTCCCAGTTCATTTGGTTCCACGGGCATTTATGTCACATCTGTTCAGAGCTGGGCACTGGGCCAGGAGCTGTTGTCACTAAGATGAGGGAGACATAGTTCTATCCTCATGAAGTTCACACTCTAGTTGGGGCATGAGGGCCCTAAACAATTAGGTGTATGATGCCAAGTGATAAGGGTGGTGACAGAGGTATGACCACTTTGGTGTTCTAGGAACACACAAGAGGGGAATCGGGGAAAGCTTCCTGGAAGGGGCAGGTCATTCAAAATCCTTGGCAGTTCTTTCCCTCAGTCAATACTAACTGTACCAGTGTAGGTTATGGAGTACTCTTGAAAGCATCATTTATGTTCGCTTATAGCAAACATTTTTTAAAAGTTTAATTCATCTTTTTTTTTTAACTTTACTTATTTTGGAGAGAGAGTGCATGTGAGAGTGGGGGAGGGGCAGAGAGACCAGGAGGGAGAATCCCAAGCAAACTCTGTGCTGTCAGCCCAGAGCCGGACACAGGGCTCAAACCCACGAACCATGAGATCATGACCTGAGCCGAAATCGAGAGTCGGATGCTTAACCTACTGAACCACCCAGGTGCCCCAGAAGTTGAATTCATCTTTATTAGGTTTAGTGGGGATGGAATGCTAAAACCTTGTTTTTTATTTTTTACTCTTTTTTAAATTAAACTTTGATTTTGAGATTATTGTAGGTCCACGTGCACTTATAAGAAATAACACAGAAGGATTCTGTATACCCTTTTCCAGTCTCTCCCCGTGGTAATATCTTGGAAAGCTATAGTACAATATCACATCGGGATACTGGTGTTGAGAGACTTAAGATACAGAACAGTACCCCCAACATGGGATCCCTCCTATTGCCCTCTTCGGCATTTTTCAAGTGTTTGTTTACACGTCTGGCCCCGAGGAATCAAAAAATGAGAATAAAAAGGACTGCCCTCAAGGCCTTGACACTCTTATCACCTACCTTGTGCCTTCTCACAACCTTGTGAGGAAGGTCATATATCCTCATGTAACACACGAGAAAAGGGACCGAGAACGTGCCTGGCCTAGTTCCACATAGCACGAACTTGGCCTATCTTCCTGGATCCAGGGCTGGTGGGCTTCCTAGGCCATATTCTGCCCCTGATGACTGCCAGGCGTCTGGATTCAGGGACCTGGGTAGAATGGGCGACGCCTTCACTGACCCATAGAATGTGGGCTAAGCCTGACCTCAGCCACGTCAAGGTGAAACCCAGTGCACACGGTGAGGACCACACCTGCGTGGAGCACAGACCCTGGGTGAGGCCTCAAAGGCAGAGCGGCCCTGACAGTTCTGGTCCATCTCCCTCATTTGACAGCTGGAGTCACTGAGACCTAGAGTAGGGCGGGGTCTGCCTCAGGTCGAACGGGAGTCCAAGGCAGTGTCCGGTCTCCAGGCTCCCTGCCAATTGGTCTGATCCACTATAATCAAGACAGAACTATTCCTTAACATATGTTGTGCAGGTGCAGTTTTTGTGTGCCCAGGTTTAAAAGTGTGGAACCTTCCTCCTCCTTGCTTGCAGACTCAGAGCTCTCTCCCTAGCTGGAGGAGTGGAGTTCAGCCTGTAGGTGGGGCACTGCAGAGAGGAGGACATTCCCCCTGCAAGTGTGTGAGCTTTCTCCTCAGGGCTGGTAGTAAAGTCTTCTCTAATCCCAACTCTGCTTCTGGGGTAATGGGCCAGCACTGAGCTCGGAGCTGGCACACCTGGGCTCCCCTCTCTGAGCCCCGTCCCTGTGTCTGCCTGCCATCCCAGGATTCCCAAGGACGTAATGGGCCTGCAGGGACTTTGCAGGCTGGAAAGGGCCAGGCACACCGGAAGCCTTATGCTTCCTGTGTTTGGAACCTTGGAGTCCCTGAAGATGGACAAGGAACAGACTTCAAGAGAGCAAATTCCTGGCCGTTTCCTCATCCTCTGGGGTGCTCTCATTATTCTGCAGGTGTTTGTTGGACACCTGATGGGTGCTGGCAAGTGGGGTCATGACTCAAATACGTGCTATTTCGGGTTTTTGACTTTAATTATGGAGAATTTCAAAAGTAGACAAAATAGTCTAATCAACCTATAAGCATCCTGCCCCTGGATTCAACGATTCTCGACTCATGGCTAGACCTGTTCCATAGGTACCCCCACTTCTTCCCACACTCTGCTTTATTTTGTAACAGCTTTATTGAATTTGGATTTTTATATCATAAGATTCACTCAGTTGAAGTATACAAGTCAGCGATTTTTAGTAATTTATGGAGCTGCGTCACCAATACCAATAGCCCGGTTTTAGAACAACCCTGTCACTCCAAGGAGATCCCTTGTGTGCATTCATGATCAACCCCTGTTCTCGCGCCAGCTCTAGCTGACCCCTGCCTCTGCTTTCTGTGGCTGTAGCTCTGTCAGTTCTGGACGTCCCACTTAGCATCTGGCGTCTTTCACGTAGCGTGTTTCTGAGGCTCACCTGTATCGTCGCATGCCTCAGAACCTTGTTCCTTTTTACTGCTGAGCAGCACTCCGCTGCATAGAGAGACCACATTTATCCATTGCGTACATAGACCACAGGGTAACTGCAGCGAACTCTCTTAGTTTTATTTGGAAGCAAACTCCAGACATCGTTTCACTTTATCTGCAAATGTTTTAGAATGACTTGAAAAGATGAGGCCTGGGGCGCCTGGGTGGCTCAGTCGGTGAAGCGTCCGACTTTGGCTCAGGTCATGATCTCATGGCTCGTGAGTTCGAGCCCCGTGTCGGGCTCTGTGCTGACAGCTCAGAGCCGGGAGCCTGCTTCAGATTCTGTGTCTCCCTCTCTCTCTGCCCCTCCCCTGCTCATGCTCTGTCTCTTTCTCTCTCTCTCAAAAATAATCATCAAATAAACCAAATAAATGAAAATAAATAATAAAAGATGAGGCCTTAACAAGCATAATAACCATGACTCCGTGATCACATCTAAAAAGTTAGCAAATCTGTAATGTCCTCAAATATTTCAAATACACAGTTTGTGTTTGCATTTACAATAGTTTCATAATATGTCATAATAATTCTTTCACAGCTGTATTTTTTACAGTTCATTTGTTGGAATCAGGGTCCACACTGCGACCCACTGATACGTATCAAGTCTTCTCTAACCTATAAGATTCCCTCCATCTCTCTTTTCTTGCCTTGGAATTCATCTGTTGAACAGGGCACCCACACCTTGTCATGTGGCCAGTTATAGAGACAAAGAGCATCGGCAGTGGCAGGGGGAGTGGAGATCACGTGCACATCCTCAGGCAGCTGAGGAGGCAGAGGCCCGGGAAGGGAGACACCTGCCCCCAGGGCCGGGCTCCACCCCAGCTGCCTTAGGCATCCAGACCCCTCTGCCTCCTCAATCTCAGGTCATCGGACCAGGCCCTGAGGACACACCTCCCCCACTCCAGCTTGTGCCCTCCTCTGGGAAGGTGTGTAGGTGGGCAGGTGTGTGGTCCCACAGGCTGGGAGCAGTTGGCCTGGCACTGGCCCAGCTGCCGAGGCCATCTGAAGCTCGGCAGCGAGCCTGGAGGAGCTCAGCAGGTGACGGGGAAGCCTCTCTGGCCAAGGTAGCCACCAGAGGTAGCCAGCCCTGCAGCCTTGTCCCCATGCCCTGCCCTTCTTCGTGCTGCCCTCCTTCTCACGTGTCTGTGTTTCTTCTCTCCTCCATGCTATGGCAGTGGTGCCCCGTGCTGATGAGACAATACTTGGTGCAGCCCCAGGCAGTCCTTTTCCAGGTAATTTCCTAGGGACCCGAATGACGCCCAGCACCCACGTTCCGGGAGCACGTGCCTCCTGGAGTCCCCTTTAGGATTCCTTATCCCTTGTGGTGCTTAGTTTCCAAAGTGCCGTCCCTGTCCTTATCCTTCAGATCCTCGTGCTCGCCCTGGCAGGCAGGCAGCAAGGGGTTCGACTGAAATCTCCTTTTATTAATGAGGACAAGGAGGCTCCGAGAGCTGGCCTGGCCTGCCTCAGGTCACACAGGTGAGAAAGAGGCAGCGCTGGGGGGGAGAGCCCTGTGTTATTGCTCCTAGTTCACTGTTCTTTCTACCACAGGGTCAAAGGCTATGAGTGATACAGATAAACATGAGCTGAGGAAGTCCACTCCCCTCCCCAAACCTCAGTTTTTCCAGGTTGGGGAAGATGACCCTGAGTATCCGTCTGGCTCAGACATGGGAGTGTGTAAGACTTTCCATCATCTGGAGCACGGTGTCCGCTGTGAGGAGGGTGTGCATCCCTGGCGGGCTTGACCTTGAGCCCTCCCAAGAATCTGTGGCAGCAGGCAGAGTTTTATCCCAGTTGGTTGCCTTGGAGTGGACAGTCTGTGAATTGCCGACTTCGGTTCATTTATCTTTCTGGGTCATAGTCAAGGATGGCACCAGGGGGCCCTGGTGGGAAGGGAGCAGAAGCCCAAAATAATACTCTAAGAAAGAACCCTAAGAGCTCAGAGAAGTTGGAAATGTGGGACGCAGCTGTTGCCTTGTGACTGTCAGTGGTGGGGAGGAGAGCAGAGCTATGTTGCCAATGTAGGCGCACCAGCACACTTCCGCGCATGTGACTGCCCTTGTTCAGTCGTCTTCAGCCCTTGGCTTCCCAAATAACTATGAGAAATAGAAGTAAATTGTCACGGTTCCCAGAGGCACCAACAATGCCTTCTCTCTTCTCTTTTTCTCTCCTGATCTTCCTTTTTTTCTTTTTCTGTCATTCTTTCTACCTCTCCCAGCCTCCATTTTCACAAAGGACTTGAGGTGTCCTGAAAAATAAACAATTACATGTATCTATTTTGTAAGTTAAGGCTGAAAAGAAAGTTCAGAAATTATGTAGTGAAAAAGGGAAGATCATAACACCAGGTGCAAGCAATGATGTGGTTGTGGTGGTTTAACACTGAAATAGACTGAGCTTCCTGGCAGCCAATGCAAAAAGGGATATATAGTGGTTTCCAGTGTTCCTGTTGTTCAGCCGCAGGCAGGTTAACCATTTATCAGGAGAAAAAACTGGCTTCTGGGGTACTGAATTGCAGGAGGGATTGGCAAGGACTTTGAATATTCAGTGGCAGTGTCTTCGGAGGTTAACAATTTTTTTTTTGTATGGTGCTTCTATTTCCTCTAACAAATGTTGAATGCCTGGTATGTTATCACAGATGAGTGAAAGCACTTCCCCAGAGCGTTTAAGGGTGGACAAGGGCATTGTTTTTTGGTCACCTGACTTGATGAGGGGAGAGGTGGGAGGGGGGCAGGGGAAGGTTGACATATCACTTGGAGTTCTTGTTGAAACACTTCTCAGTTAATTTTGGAGTGTTGTGGTTGATGTCATGCTCCTGGATCATATATTCACTCATTCATTCAAAAAGCACTTCAGGGGCTCTAGGGATGTTCCATGCTCTCAAGGCAACCTAGAAAGAGATAGACAAACAGCCATTAAACATGGTGAAAAGATGGGGCGCCTGGGTGGTGCAGTCGGTTGAGCGTCCGACTTCAGCCAGGTCACGATCTCACGGTCCGTGAGTTCGAGCCCCGCGTCGGGCTCTGGGCTGATGACTCAGAGCCTGGAGCCTGTTTCTGATTCTGTGTCTCCCTCTCTCTCTGCCCCTCCCCCATTCATGCTCTGTCTCTCTCTGTCCCAAAAAATAAATAAATGTTGAAAAAATAAATAAAAAAAAAAAACATGGTGAAAAGTGATCATGGAGGTTTGTGGAAAATGCCATCAAGTGTGGAAGCATAGACAAGGGAGTCATGATTTCATTGTAGCATGTGGGGCCCAGGAATGGCCTCACTGAGGAGGTGACATTTGAGCTGGGTCTTGTGGACAGTGTAGGAGTTCTGTAAGTGACTGAGTGAGACAAGTCCTCCGCGCAGAGGCAGGCTGTAGAGCAGCCACTGTAACAAAGAAGCAGGAGACTGGAGAGAGTGCAGCTTCCTTTCAAAATCATAGCAGCTCAAAGGGACAGGCAGTGACGAGGACTTAGGGAAAAAGTACACACCAACCTAAATGGCAGCATCCCCTGGCTTGTACAGGAGCAGGGTGAGCACTGTGAATCCCACCAAAGAGGAGAGACTAGGCAGGGGGCAAGACCTGCAAGGTGGTGGTGGTAGGAGGGACAGTTGGCAAAGGGCTGCTGAGGGCCGGTTTCTAAGTCCCCTGTCCCCAGAGTCCCCACTCTTTAGGGACATTCACTTTACCTTCTGGCAGCCAGTGGTGGTTGGGAGACTGGATTTTGAGACCTCCTAGCACATGTGTAACACAAGTTAAAGATTTGGTGTCTTGGAAAGGTGATCCAAACTCAACTGTCAAAGTGACTGGGCAAACTTTTTGTAAAATGCTTTTTAGTTTATTTATTTTTGAGAGAGAGAACAAGCCGGGGGGTGGGGTGGGCAGAAAGAGAGGGAGAGAGAGAATCCCAAGCAGTCTCTGCCATGTCAGAGCAGAGCCCGATGGGCTCGAGCTCATGAACTGTGAGATCATGACCTGAGCCAAAACCAAGGGTCAGACGCTCAACCGACTGAGCCACCCAGGCGCCCAGTGACCGGGCAAACTCTGACGATGAATTTATGGACTAAAACAAAATCAAATAGCAAAAAGACCCTTCCAACGGGACATCAAAGAAATGAAGAAATATCCCTATTGGCCACCCTCTTGCAATTTTCTGAAACTCAGGTTGGGCTCTGCTTTCTTGGGGGAAATAAAGGCTCTCCCTTGCAGACCCAGCTGCCCAGCCTGGCATCTAGGAAGGGTAGGTCTGGCAGTGGGGTGGGGAGGGGCGCAGGGATGCTGACTCTTCATTGAGATTGCTGCCTGGACTGCCTAAAGGTCACTCATTCATTTGTTCATCCATGTGTTCACTGTGCAAACCCTTCGCAGGCGGCTCCCAGCTGGACTACCTTTCCGTCTTTGCCTCTTCTAGTTTCACTTCCTTCAACTATTGTCATGTGCCCTGTTTCAGACCACTCCTGTCCTCTTCCCTCTGAACCTTTCTTCAGCTCTTATCGGCCTTGAGGGTTCGGGACAGCTCAGACCCAGGCTGAATAAAGCCTGGGCAAGAACACTTTCCTGGCCGCTTCCTGCTCCATGGTCAATTAATGTCTCTGTGTTCCTGCTCCCCTTCGATAAAGCTTCTGGGGCCACATATCTTTTCCCTTGGGGTTTGTGGATGAAAGTCAAAGAGCATGTCTGGGCTTCACATGCATCTTGTGCACAAGAAACGCTCAATAAATACTGAACATTCATTATGCTCAGGCCTCCACCAGCGCCCTTGGTAACACAGAGAGGAAGGGGCCCTGTCCCCTACCCCAGGGTCCCGGGAACCCTAGAAGACACCATCTCAGAAGAGACCCTTACAGAAGTGTTTTGACCTCCTGTCTTTGCTCATGGCGATACGCTGAAGGAGCTGTCCAGTGAGCTTTACTTCCAAGGTCCTTTTTCAGCAAATGCCTAATGGCTAATGCCATGACCAAGTCTCCTTCTACAGGGAATGAAGTCTAGACAGTGACCTTTTCCCAACAGCTCCTTGCTGCATAGAATGAAGACTTTGCTGGTCCTGACTTAAAGCAAGAAAGATCTTTTCATCTCCGCTTCTGTGTGAAACAAAGATTTATAAAACAGGACTTCTTCTTTCTGTGTGTGGGAACCTTGGATATTTTTTGTTCTAGTCCATTCTAATTTCATTTTTTTTTTTAAACATTGGCAGTAGCAAATTGATTTCACATCTGTTTAAAAAAATTTTTTTTTCAACGTTTATTTATTTTTGGGACAGAGAGAGACAGAGCATGAACGGGGGAGGGGCAGAGAGAGAGGGAGACACAGAATTGGAAACAGGCTCCAGGCTCCGAGCCATCAGCCCAGAGCCTGACGCGGGGCTCGAACTCACGGACCGCGAGATCGTGACCTGGCTGAAGTCGGACGCTTAACCGACTGCGCCACCCAGGCGCCCCTGATTTCACATCTGTTTATAGGACAGGATTTACGGTATGGAAATCATTAGAGTAACTGTCAAGACTTTGGAGTCAGATCGATCCAGTTTTGGAATCCTGGCTCTGGCACCTAGAAGCCGTGTGACTTTAGGCAAGCTACTTCCTTTCTATAACAAGTCGCAGTTCGTCATCTGTAAAATGGGGATAACACAGAACCTATTTCGTGGAGTTACTGTGAGGATTAAATGGAAGATTCAGGTAAAGCTCCTGACACAGAGCAATTGATCAATAAATGTGAGCTTTTGACGTGATTGTGAAGATTATGGTTCTTACTGCCCTGACACCTCATGGTGAGGCCAGTGGGGCAAAGGCAGGGCTCCTGCCTCCTAAGAAATGGTAGTTAGGAAGGGCTTCCTGGAGGAGGAGGAGGCATTGGATCAGGGTGGCAGGATGACTAGGACCCACCCTGTGGTGAGCATCCCAGAACCACTTGTTTCCTCTTGAAGGGCAGGTTTGTTCCCAAGGATTTTTGACTGGACCTAGAGCTGACCACGTTAGATGCCTTTGCCTTTCCCATTTAGGTCTCCAATCCACCTGGAATTGATTTTTGTGTCTGGTATAAAGTAAAGATCCAATTTCTTTTTTCCCCCTTGTTTCTGAATGGATAACCAGTTACCCCCGCACTGTTTATTAGAGTCCATCCTTCCCTGCTGATTTGTACATCACCTCTCTCATATATCAAGGTTCCATCTATGCACAGATCAGTTTCTGGACTCGCTTCTGTTTCATTGATCTATTTATCTGTCCCTGTGCCAATCCTACCCTGTCTTAATTACTACAGCTTTATAGTGATATAGTCGGGGAGGCGTGTCCCTATCATGTCCTTCTCCTGTAGAAGCCTGTGCTCTTCTCTGCATGTTTCCGAATCAGCCTCTGCTGGAGATGATTGAGAGCCCCAGAGCTCTGGACAGAGCTGTCCTCGGTGAGACTCATGGCAGGGTGCCTGGGCCTGCACCCTCGTGGACTCACTGTTGCCCACCACCCCAGGCTGAGCTGCCCAGGAAGTACTTTCTAGTTCAGATGCAGAGAGAAGCACCAGGAATGTATCCGAGTCTGAGTCCCCTCTGCCTGCCACTTGCTCAGTGGCTCCCCTGGTTCCCTTCCCTGTGGCTCAGTCCTCAGCACCTCCCCAAGGTGCCTGTGTCTCCTTTGAGAAGGCGGCTTCCTTCCCTGTCCCTGTCTGCCAAGGATGTAACCCTGGACAGACAAGGATGTGCCCTCCATTGCGATGCCAGCGTCCTGGAGGGAATTGCTCATGCCAAGAGTTTGGCATACACAACCAAATTCTTTGGCTTGGGCGTTTGCAGATATTTTCTGTACCTGAAACTAGGCCTGGGGGTTGCGTGGAAGGAAGAGACCTGGAACTCACACTTATAATTTGGTCTGTCTCTGAGTGGGAAGGCCCAGGTTGGCATCTTCTGGAGGCCATTTGACAGTGGCTAGGATGTCAAGGAAATGACTCATCAGAAGCTCTGATTTCATGAAGTGGCTTAAAGGAAGGAGCATGACCCTGGGCCAAGTGCCCATGGCTGCTGTGGACTTGGTAAATCAGATGTGTACACCTCACAATTTGCAGCACATAGTTTACATGCTGCCGGAATTCAACACACTTACCAAACTGTGGTTCATTTGGTTTGATGTATTGGATTTTGAGTGAGAGTTTCTGGAGGACTACTCCCTGGACTGGGATTCTGCCCCATTGGCCATGGACAAAGCCCTCTTTGCCTTGGGCCTCAGTTTAGTCATCTGTGAATTGAGAGTTTGGCACGGATGAGGTCTCAAAGTCCTTTTAACCTTGTGTCTGTGATTCTGCATCTGTGGTTTAAGAGCATTGAAATCAGAAACTTTTCTTTCTATCCTCTTGGCAACAAGACTGTTATTTCCGCCTTGCTTTTAGTTACTGATATCTCCCTCCCTGTATTCAAGACATTGTCGGTGGCCACTGGGGCTGGGCAAATGGAACCTGCAGGCCACAAGAAGCTAGGTTTGAATTCTTGTGAAGCTGCACCTGACTCCTGCCCACCTCCCTCCTCACCTGGGGAGAACTGTCGACTCTGGATACCTGTCTTGCTCTATTGAGCTGAATCTGCCTTCTCAACACTGGGGGGGTTTGCGAGCCCCCCGTGGGCCCTGGCGCTGGCCTGGGCTAGCCCAGCGAGGTGACTGAAGCCCAGAATGTGGCGGTGGCGTTTGGCTGGGGTGCTTTGGAGTCTTGATGCTGAGACATTTCTGTTTTGTTTCCTCTTTCAGACCACTGAGTACTCAGCTATGGCCTCGCTGGCTGGAGGGCTGGATGACATGAAGGCCAACCTGACCAGCCCCACTCCCACCGACATTGGGAGCAGCGTGCCCGGGCCACAGTCCTACCCCATTGTAACAGGTGAGGGCACCTGGGGTGGGGGAGAGAGAGAGAGACTGACAGAGGGAGACTGAGAGTGCCTGCATGGGCGGGGGGAAGAGTGGCTTGGTGCTTTTGGACTTGACGGGCCATTTTTGTTTTAGTAAGGTTCTGGGGCCCTGGAATCGGTCAGGCAGGATACTGCCGGGGCCCAGAGCTGCGGCTGTGATGAATCATGGCTGTATTTGCTCTGATAAAGCCAGCGGAGAGCGAGTGTCAAACGGGCTGTGGGCTGGGACAGGTGGCAAGAAAGGCCCATGACAAGAAGGGCCATGGTGACTTCGGGATCTCCTGTGGATACAGCCAGGAGGTTCAGAGGTCTGGGATTTATCCCTCTCACGAGAAGGGCAACCCTGCTTCGTAGGACTTGAGAAGGAGCAGACTCCTGGCAGATTGGCATTGGTATTTCGGGTTTCCAGGCAGAGACTGAGTCAGGAAGGGTAAGAGGTTTCGGCTGGAAGGTGCTTGGCCTATGCAAAGTAGCTGCCTTTCTGGAAGGCCCAGGGCCAGCCTCTTTAGCCGTCAGTGTAAAGATTGAGTTTGGATCCTGGAGGCACATTGCTGGATTTGAACTTGCCATTGACTAACTGTGTAATCTTGGGTAAATGTATAAGGATTCTGGGCTATGTTTTAAAAAAAATCTCTACAGTGGGAATGGTGTTATTGTGAGGATTAATTCATTAATACATACAAAGTGTTTAGACTCTTATTTAGCACACGGCAAGCACCCAATACATGTTGCTGTTATTCCTCTCAGAGCCTTCTCGTGGTGGCCGGTCACATTGTTGGGTTTGCTGTTGCAGAAAAGTCTGGACCACAAGGGCTGAGTTAGGCAGACACCTCTTCCTGCTCCAGCAGCAGTGCGATAACATGGGGGGACAGACCCTGGAAGTTTGTTGGAGCTGGCAGGCAGGAAGCAGTCTCAGATACTATACGGACAGATAATAGGAGGCTCAAGGGTAGCACTTGGGCCAGAGCCTTGGGGTCCAGCGGGGGGTAGCAGGATGTCCCTGTAGGCTGGTAGGCAGGACACAGTAAGAAGTAACAGAGACAAGGGCTTCTTAAAAGTGCAGGTGGGCTATGGTTGTGTCGGGGAAGCTGGGGATTGTGCTCAGGTTTGAGTTTTAGGGGAGGTGGCTTGACGTCACGTAGGTTCCGAGACAGAGAGAACCCAGCTCTGAGACCTGTGCTGATAGGTTGGCACTGAGGCTCCTGGGGCTCACTCAGACAGAAGCAGTGGAGGCCCTGTTTGCAGATCTTGGCAAGCTTCTGGGGGCAGCTGAACCAGCACAGGTGGGGAGGTGTCAGCACTGGGACAGGGATAGAGGGCGGGGAGCCTCCATTAGAGTGGGGCTTTACTAACAGCACAGATGTCCCATGAGGTCCTCTCCCCTGATGTCACAGAAGGTTTCAGTTGACCCAGGCAGTGGGTCTGGGTGTGGATTGGGTTTTCAGGTAAACCTTTGACCAAAGACTTGTTTGTACTCCAGACCCAAGTCAGAATCATGCTTGATCTTTAAAAAAAAAAAAAAAAAAAAAAAAAAAAAAAAATTAATTTTGGAGATAATTCTAGTCCCTGACCCATTGTTACTACTTGTGTTGCTTTTCACTTTCATCTTTCCTAAAAACACATGAAATTACCTGCTGTAGAATTTTAAAAGCACTCAGGTAGTGGATGGCTACTTTGGAAGAAATATTTTCTGCCTTCTGTGCAGAAAGTAGAGATAGTGAGCTCTTTTGCATGCCCTTCCAGAAAGGTGTGTTTTCCTGGGTGTTCATTGCCGAAGGGATATTTCTCTGGAGGACCACATAGGGCTATGAAAGAAAGATACGCAGTGTCAGATGAAGGCTGTAGGGGAAAGCCAGGGTTACATTAAATGAAGAGCTCTTACTGTATCTAGGACCACATTGTGATCATGTGCAATTCTGAGCTATTTTACTTTATTAAAATTCTGTAAAATTTAGTTTATTTTTAAAAAGTTTACCCATGTCTTTATTTTGCTTGATTTCGCATAATGGTATGCTTGATGTTGAAATATTGGAAGTATTCTAATTATAAATATAATCATTAGCTTTTTTTGTGAGTAAACAATAGCTAGCTAGAAAAATAATAGAAGAGTCCTTTAACAATAGTACCAAAAAAACCAATGCTGAGGAAAAATTCACTTTAAACTCCACCAAGGGACATAAAAGAATAAATGGAGAGATATAACTTGTTCTTGGGGAGGAAGACTCAATATCATAAAGTTGTCAGTTTCTTCTAAGTAATCTACTAATTCAAAGGAATCCCAATCAAAATAGCAACAGAATTTTTGGGGGGAACACGTCAAAATGATACCAAATACTGCAAAAATAAGCATTGAAGCCTAGCTAAAAAATTCTGAAATAGGGAAATGAGCAAAAGTTGTAGCCTATTTAAAAACATTATAATAAAGCAGCAGCACTTAAAACTATTTTTTGTTTTTTTAAGTTTATTTATTTACTTACTTATTTATCTAAGTAATCTCTACACCCAGTGTGGGGCTTGAACTCACGACCCCAAGATCATGAATCACTTGCTTTCCTGACTAAGCCAGCCAAACACTCCTAAAACTATTAGTAATGAAACTGAAGTTATAGACACATATAGTGGCCTAGAGAGTCCTTAAATAGATCCAAATAGATATGGGTATTTATAAATGTAATATTTCAAATAGGTAGAGAAAAAGATAAATCGTTCAGTTAATGGTGTTGGGACAACTAGGCTTGTTGGATACATACCTCACTTTTTATATCAAAATAAATTCCTAGTTGATCTACACTTTCAATGTAAAAAATGAAACCATAATAAACTAGAAAAAAATGAGGGATACTTTTTTAGAATCTTAGAGCAGGGAAGGCCTTTTAAAATCTGTTCCAAATATAAAAGACAAAGAAAACTGGTCTAAATGACTGTTAAAAATGTAAGTCTTTTGTCTGTATGCAAAAAAAAATTCAAAAGACAACAAAATTAGGGGGAAAAAGTGGAACACTGATGACAAAACTAATTTTCTTAATACGTAAAGGGCTTTTAGAAATGAGTAAGAAAAAAATGAGTAGGAAAAACAGGTCAAGACTGGATAAATTCATTGGAAAAAATACAGATGTCCAACAGCACATGAAAAGGTACATACCTGACTCATAGTTTTAAAACTGCAAATTAAAACAGTCATGAGACACTTTAAAAAGTCAATTAGCTTACCGAAGATTGAAATGTTTCTGGAGGCCAAGTGTTGGAGAAGGTATGAGAAACAAATATTTTCATCCACTGTTACAAATCAGTGTAACCTGTTTTGGAAGGAAATTTGGCAATATCTATCAAAAATGTAAATGCACCTACCTACCCTCTAACCCAGAACTTTCATAATCAAGTCACAGATATATTCATGAATGTACAGTGATACCTTTATCTGTATAATAATTATAGAATTATTTATAACGGCAAACAAATGGCCACAAGGCAGTGTCTGTCAATAGGAGCTGGTTAAATAAATTATGGCTCCTTCATAACACAAAATACTATGCAAACCAATTAAACCAATTAAAAATAATTAAGTAGAGCTGTCTGTGCTGAAATGAATAAATCCAAGATAAATTTTTTTAATTTTTTTTAATGTTTTATTTATTTTTGAGACAGAGTGAGACAGAGCATGAACGGGGGAGGGTCAGAGAGAGAGGGAGACACAGAATCCGAAACAGGCTCCAGGCTCTGAGCTGTCAGCACAGAGCCCGATGTGGGGCTCGAACCCACGGACCGTGAGATCATGACCTGAGCCGAAGTCGGCCGCTTAACCGACTGAGACACCCAGGCGCCCCTCCAAGATAAATTTTTAAATAAATAAGCAATTTGTATAATACTATGTTAAGTATGATCCCATTGGTGTGAAAAAATACAAAGGACATACACACAGGGGCAGAGGCACACACAGGCAGGTCAGAGGCTTGTGTAATGAGGATTCTTTAGAAGATCTCCAGCTCTTCTCCTGCTTTACGGGGCATTGTGGTGTTGGGGTTCTCTTCCCAGTCCCACCTAGCATCCCCTTGGGATAGCAAGTATTTTTTTTTTCATTTTATTTATTTGAGAGAGAGAGAGAGAGTGTGTGCACGCATGAGCTGAGGAGAGAGGCAGAGGGAGAGAGAAAGAGAATCCCCAGCGGGCTCCACAGTACCTGACGCAGGGCTCAATCCCACAACCTTGGGGATCATGACCTGAGCCAATATCAAGAGTCGGGCACTCAACTGACTGTGCCACCCGGGCGCCCTGGGATAGCAAATATTAACAACGCCCCTTTACTCTCCGGACATCTGACTTCAAGTTAAATCAAAATAAAGCCTTAATCATGAGATATGGGAAGAATGAAAGCAAAATTGTTTATAATGAAATACTATGTACTTTGATAAGCAAATACCCTGCGTGTTTGAACTGCAAGAAATAATGAAGTAGTTCGGGGCTTGCCCTATGCACAGAATCACTATGAATGCCACGGCCCTGAACGCAGACTTAGGGACTCCTATTTACTCATACTGCGAGCCTGATTTTATGAATTAGGTGAGGAACTCTTGGCAAAATTCCAAGTAAAATAAGATATGAGCTTTTCTCGGTTTACACAGTAGTTGCATTCCTAGAAAATTCAGTGTATATTAAGACCATGGAGATTGCAAGTTCACATTTATATGTAAATGAAGTTCAGTGCTAGACTCAAATAATTATAAACAGATTTTTCACCTGTCCTGTTTGGCAGGACATGACAGAATGCAAGATGAAAGGAAACGTCGCTGTGGGGACTCTTCCTCTGCAAGGCAGGGATGCCTCTCAATTATAGAAAAGCCCCCACAAGTTTTCAGAGCACCCTCTAGGGGGCAGTTGCTGACCCTACTGAGAAGTGTTAGAACACCTTGAAGGAATGCCTCCAGGAGCTGTTAGGATGGCAGTAATTTTATTCCCTTGTGTTCATGGATGTGTT